CCCCAGCCTACCTTTCCAGGACATTACATATTACTCCCTTTTACCCATTCTACCTACATTTCAGCCAAACTAGCCTTCCTGTTCTCATGATACGATGTTCATATTATGTTCCTCAGTGTGCCGGCCTCAAGGCCTGTAAGGCACTCCCTCCTTGACCCTATTTAGACTCCTTCACTTTCTCCCAAACTCAGCTCAAACAGTCTCCTCCTACATAAAGCATTTCCTGATCTGTTCCATCCCTCCTCTGCCTTCCCCTGCCCATCTCGTAAATTGCACTCACTTTGTATGAATTTTGTATCTACTCATATGTATACATGTTGTTTCTCCCAATACAATGTAAGCTCTTTGAGGGCAGGAACTGTTTTAATTTTTGTCTTCGTATCTCTAGTGCCTAGCATATGGGTGGTGTTTAATAAATAAATGCTTGTTGATTTATGCCAAGTCCAGGGCTCTTTCCACCACGCACAATGCCTCTGGGAAGATGAAGAAACATTACCATCTTGGCAGCACCCGTTAGAGACACAGTCACATACAAGAATCTGTGGTCTAGCTGAAACAGATTTAATAGCTAAAGACATGGGATTAGCCAAGGAGTTATCTACTGAGGAAGTGAAACGTATATATATCATCACTCCTATGGTCGCAGTGCTGGCTTCCCCAGGAAAAGCGAGTATCAGATGAATTAGCATGGCAGAAGAAGATATTAGCGGAGAAGACTATCCAAAAGAAATTCATGACTATCTGTTAAAATTTGAGAATTCCCTTCATTCAGTGGATGAAATGCTAAAGACCATGATGTCAGTTTCTAGAAATGAGTTATTGCAAAAATTGGACCCACTTGAACAGGCCAAGTTGGATTTAGTTTCTCCTTACACATTGAATTCAATGTTTTGGGTTTACTTGGCCTCAAGTGGTTAATCCCAAGGAACATCCAGTAAAGCAGGAAATAGATAGAATAAAATTATATTTGAACAAAGTAAAAAAAATTACAGACAAGAAAATGGCTACCGAATTGGATAAAGGAGATGCTTCAAGATTTCTAAGAAATACTCTGTGGGAAGACAAATCAGAAAAAGGATCAAAGTCCTCAAATAAAGGGAAAGGGAAAAAATGAATCTTTGGAAGTGAAAGGCATCTGGAAGAAAGATGCCCACCACGTGCTAGGTACTGGGAGTACAAACACAAACAATCTCTCCCCTCTAGGAGCTTACATTCTAATGGAGGTCCATTGGCTAGATAGAATATTACACAAGAGAGTGATGGTCTTGGTATTTACTAGATTCATCTCCCGCTTCAGGTGTTCCATTTTAAAGAACAAATGAGAGAATGTATAAGAAGTGTTTTGCAAATCTTCAAGCCCTATGTAAATGAGTTGTTTTTATTAGAAGAGGGAGGGAAAGCATTGAGGAAGACCAGGAGACAGCTTGATTCACTTCCTAAGATTGGTACTCAGTGCTTCCAAAAGTGAGGGACAAAAGCAGACTTAGGGGGCAGCTAGGTGGCACAGTGGATAGAGCACTGGCCCTGAAGTCAGGAAGACCTGAGTTCAAATGCGGCCTCAGACCAAACACTTGACTCTTACTAGCTGTGTGACCCTGGGCAAATCACTTAACCCCAATGCCCCCCGCCAAAAAAAAGCAGACTTAGATGTCATCTGGTTCAATATTACAGATGAGGAAACTGAGGACCATAGTGCTTCAGTAATTTGCTCAAGGTCACACATAGTAAATGACAGAGCTGGGATTTGAACCACCACTCTAATTTCCATCTCTAACTCCACTTTCATTGATTTTTCCAGGTACCATGATAATACATACTTGTTGACTACTGCTTCTGTTAGTCTATCACCTGCCCCCCACTTTGTGTGCTCACCTTTGCTAGTAAAGATTCTTGTCCATAGTTTTACAACGAAATGAGGCTTAATAGAGATTTGTTCAGTTGTTACAGTGTCTTTGGAGAAGGAGGAAATCCACTTTAGGAGGGGGCTTTTAGAATGTAAGCTGAAGCTAAATTTGTCTTTTGCGTGAAGGATATCTCTCAGTTATCATAGTGTTATATGGGGAAAGTCTTCCAAGAAGCACAGAAAGGGGATAATAATTCATTTTCTGTTGAGATTTGAAAAGGAAGAAAATCAGAGAAGATATTATGTGTTAGGTGCTGCAGAGAAGAAGGCTATAAAACCTTGATGAAAGAGGTGAGACAGAAGCAGGGTAAGATTAGTATCAGGAAGAGCAAAATATACCCACATTGGTGATCCTGAGTAACTCTGGAAATCTTCATGTGCCTTAGTGTCTATCATAGCCATGTGACTCAAAAGTAACATAGCAATCATATTATTTGTAAACCAATCTTTCAGGTGCACAGAGGACCTAAAAGTACCCATCAGTGAATTATTTTATAGAGTAAATACATATACCATCTAACAGTTTTTTTTTCTGAGATTTCATAATATTGGGTTTACCCAATGAGTGTTTCCTGCTTTACAATTCATCCCCAGAAAGATCTTATTTCCCCTCATTTTCAGTCAAAGCCATCCTATTGATGCTGGTTCATTTCCACTGAATCGGACCGGTATCTCGCCAAGTGGGTGTGGCTTCCAAAGTCCTAGGAAAACTGCAGGACTAAAGCAAAAGATGGAAAATAGGGGAAGTCAAAGATTAATCTTCAGCATATCAGCCACACATACTTCCTATTATGTACTGAAGTGGAATGCCTGGAGACATACAGAGATAATGACACTTGTCTAACTGTATAACTTGCCCCAGATGGAATTTATGATCACAGATTTAGAGTTGGAAGGGACCTTAGAAACCATCAAAAACAAGGCTTTCAGTTTTACAGATGATGCTGACCTAAGCATTATGCCAGCCTGCCTCTCAAAAGAGATAAATTTTCTCATAGTCCTCAACTATGAGACATTATAGCTTGACAACTGTGAGCAAGTCACTTTTAGGCTCTGTAAGCCTCGGTTTCCACATGTGCATTCCACATTCACAATGATACTTGCATTTCACATGGTTGTGAGGAAAGTGGTGCATTGCACAGGATGTGTCCATCCCAAAGCAGGGAAGATGAAGCTCTTGTCATGATCTCTTTGCCCTACTCTCCTGAACCAGTTGTGGTATCATACCTGGATCCTTACTCTGAGGTCTGAAGTTTGGCTGATATGGACCTAATTGGGGGGCAGAAAGAAGTCACCATCCCTAGCTTATCCAGTTCTGTCCCCAGGGGAAGACAGTGTAAACAAAAGACCAAAAACTAGATAGAAATTCAGAGAGATGCCTTTAATCTACCCTTTGCAGTAGGGGGAGGTAAATACGAAACAGTACTGACTAGCTTCTGAAGGAAGCTTTTTTCTTTAGAGGGTACCTTGAATATAGTGGGCACATAGCAAATGTGTGATGGAATTCCTTGTTACAACAAATAAAATATCAGTGATTAGGAAAACTTTCACAGGAAGATACATTTTAAAATGCATGTTACTAGTCACCTTCTACAACAGAAGCAGATAGGAGCATAGCTTCCTTTCTGAGCTGAAATTGGAAATTAGAACTGACCATAAGAGGATTTCTCCTCCTTCTCCTTGTATTCTATAGCTTGAAGAAAAGTAAAATATAAGCCTAATGATGGTAATATATAAATCTTGAAATATTTGTTTCCACCTTCCTTCTATTAAGCTATATCTCAGTTTCCTCCTCTAGAGGTGATCTCTCCTGGTCACTGGATGAATCAGGCATAGAACTGTGCTGGTAAAGTATTCAGTGATATAATCCTGAGGTACCCTTAGTAATGGCTGAAGATGTTATAGCTCTCAGATACGTTTGCATTTTATTAGGAAACTCTAGAAGACATCCTCTCCTGCCTAAAAACATAAAGAACCAAAGGAATGGTTGGGTTTCATGGCAGGCTGCTAGGGGAAATATTTTAGGGCAGCAGGGTCTTTCCTA